AAGTTGGAACTGCCCAACTTTATAGAAACAGCCTTTGTGCACAGACGCATTGTAGGCTACTGGTTCAGGAAACAGTTCTCATCCTCCATAAAATGCGCTGCACACATCTGAATATTTGGGTTCTGGAACCGTGTTGTAAATACAACTTAACCACTGATTTCTACACTCTAAAAAATGTTGGGTAAAACAACCCAATAGCTGGGTCAAAACAACACAATAGATGGGTTAAAACAACACAATAGCTGGGTCAAAACAACCCAATAGCTGGGTCAAAACAACCCAATAGCTAGGTTTGTCCCTTTTTAACCCAGCACCTGGGTTATATTTCCATTATAACACACCTCCATTATTAGACTGACAGACTCAACAGTTTGAGTTAAAAATCTTCGTTTGTGTTCTACTGAAGAAACAAAGTCACCTACATCTTGGATGCCCTGGGGGTAAGCAGATAAACATCACATTTTCATTTTTGGGTGAACTATCCCTTTAAGTCGCTGGGGAATATTTGTAGCAATAGCCAAAAATACATTGTATGGGTAAAGATAAAGTAAAGATTATGTTCCATGAAGATATTTTGTAAATGTCCTACTGTAAATATATCAAAATTTCATTTTTGATTAGTAATACGCATTGCTAAGAACTTCATTTGGACAACTTTAAAGGCGATTTTCTCAATATTTTGATTTTTTTTGCACCCAGATTCCAGATTTTCAAATAGTTGTATCTCGGCCAAATATTGTCCTATCCTAACAAACCATACATCAATGGAAAGCTTATTTATTCAGCTTTCAGATGATGTATAAATCTCAATTTCGAAAAACTGACCCTTATGAGTTGTTTTGTGGTCCAGGGTCACAAATAGTAACTAAGTAACACGATTAGTTACTTTTTTATGGAGTAGCGAAATATTGTAATGCATTACTTTTAAAAAATAACTTTCCCCAACACCGTTTGAATTTTTATAAAATACACCATAACCCAAGGTTTACTAAACATTTATGATCATTAAGGCTTATAGTTTAAATCCCATTTCAACATTAAACATAGGATCCTATACGGATCCTCACTGAAAAACCCACATCTTTACCTCCAAATTAGCAGGAAAAGTAGCAAAAATGTTGTTATGCTGCCACCTGCTGGTACTCTCAGATATTGTGTATGGACTGTATTCCTCTTTTTCTTTTCCTCGTGTGTGTTTTTAGCTTTCGCCACTCATTCTGATGAAATAAAAACAGCCGTTCTGAAGTCAAAACGCAAAACACAACCCCAGCTGCTATAATGTCTTTATTTCAGCATGATCTGGCTACCACTACAATGGTATCGACCTCCAGAACATAAAGATAAAAAAAGAAAGAAAATGGCACTCGACTAGTACAATACTGCTACATACAGTACACACATTTATAAAATGGAAACCAATATTCTCTATACACTAAAGTATGTACATCTTTGATAAATTAAACCAATACTGCTTAGATTGAACATTTTGCTTGAAGAATAACTGAAAGGATGACTGGAGAAACGCAAGCAGGCACTGGAGCATCTTCTGATTGAACTGCCATTGACAGTCTTTACTGACACTGAACTTGAATTTGTTTGTAGGCACATTTATTCATTTTATTAAAAGCATTTTATTGGAAGGTCCAAACACTCGATGACCTCACGTAAAATAAAAACCATATGCTAATAACCGTCCTGTCTGTCTGAGAGGTAGTACCAATGCATGATATCCTGGTAATGGTGATATCCCATAATCCTTAGCTGGCCACCATCCAGTCTTTCTGCTTACGTGTTACAATGCAAACCCGGCTACCAATATTCACAGCACTGCAGCAGCTTCTCACAACATGCTAAATAAGCATGTCGCATTTCAAGACATTGGCGTCTGCTGAGAAAATAAACAAATGCCCGTGGAGCCGTTTACCGTTAGGGGCTAATCAATCTGCCAATAAATCTAGGGTGATTTCCCACCCTCCCTACAAAGTTGGATTTCCATTGCAAATGATATAAGTCTCTTGGAAAATGATTTTTTTTTTTACAATTAAATACACAAATAAACCTCTGAGGACTAGACCGCTTGTGCAAGATTTAAAAAAAATAATAATTGCCTGTACATATCATCAGCACGAAGGAAATCTTCCTTTTCCGATGCGTGTAGGAGCTTCCGTTTGGTTTTCCACATTCTGTCAGACCTGCTGATTTCAGATAATGCAAGAGTGTGCGTGTGTGCAAGAGACGAGAGGTATAGAAAGAGGACAGAGCGAGAGAAACAGAAAGAGCGTATTTTGGTTAAGCATGAGGAAAAATGTTCTCTTTGGGGGTTTCGAGAAAGCAGCAGCAAGTAAAAAGCCTACTGACTTCCTTCCAACACACACACACACACACACACACACACACACAATCACTTGAGCAGAGCAAGAAGACATTTAAAAAGAGGTGCCAAGTCTAGCAAGGTTTGACCTCGCTGATCCGGTCTGGTTTCTTTCTGAAGCTGGGGTTGTTTTTCTCTTTGCACAGCTCAGTTGTCTCCACGAGAGGGAGCAGTTCCAGTAGCCCTGAATCTGTAACACCAGCGTCCTGAGCAGCTCTAGTGTCTCTTCATAGAGGAGACCTTCTTCTTCCTCGCTGCCAGCATCTCGTAGAAAGGATCTCTACTGATGGCCGCCCTGGAGACAAAGAGGAAGAACATTATGAGAACTGCCTCTCTTCTAATGTTAAAGCTTGTTCAGTTAGGGTTAAATAACACTTCTAGTGTCTCTTCATAGAGGAGACTTTCTTCTTCCTCGCTGCCAGCATCTCGTAGAAAGGATCTCTACTGATGGCCGCCCTGGAGACAAAGAGGAAGAACATTATGAGAACTGCCTCTCTTCTAATGTTAAAGCTTGTTCAGTTAGGGTTAAATAACACTTAATATATAGTAATATTATTGATTTTAAATTACACTATTAGATGAGAAAAAAATTTGATCTGAATTGAGGTGAATTGACACTATTGTCTTCTGTAGAGCTGCATTACAGCTGAAATTCAATTTGTTTCATTTGTTGAATTTTGCAACATTAATACTGTTATTTTCCTTTTTATTACTTTGAAGCTGCTTTGAAACAACCTGTGCTGTATAAAGAGCTCTTTAAATCAGACAGTCATTTTCCAAAAAAAGAGAGAAAAGCAAAGGCACTAAGTGCAAATAATGATTTTATTTGCACTATGTAAAAATCGCAGTATTTTCTTTGCAATAAATGTAAATAGTAGTTAGATGCTATTTATAGGCAACTTAGCGCAAAAAATAGCAGATATTTGCACCTCAGTATTGTAGTACATTATAAAACAGTATGCAATAATAATAATTTTTTTTTTAATTATTAAATGGATTCAGCCTTATTGGGACAATAAAGCCCTACCTTTATTATTAAATAACCATGAGGCATTTATTTCCACTTTTCGAATGTTTACTCCATTTTTATTGAAAATAAATGCCTTTCCAATCTGAAATACAGAGTTGTGGCATGAAACTCTAGATGGCGCAGTCCGATAGGTCTAACTCAATCTGACTTGGCGACATCATTGTCACATGGCAGCCGATTGGTTCTCTCCTGTATCAGTAGCCAATGAGCTTACTGCTCAATATTCAAATACCTGGCTTTAGTTTGCTGTGGCAGTTTGCAGCGCACTTCAGAAACCCTCCACCTTCCCCAGCTCCACCTGTATAGATCTGCTACGAGGTGATTCATGTATGCTATATGGGGGTTATTTCATGTATGTTATATGCGCAGCAGCAGTATTTCTTACATGCTCACAGCAGCATGTTGTGGATGTATTGGCAGTAGCAAGTCTCGGTACTTGCTCTGCCGCAGCAGCAGCGTAGCAGATCTATTCCGCCAAGACCAAATACATTAACATTGTCATGTACATTACCATGCCAATCCCTCCGAGAGTTGTCATAACAGAAATATGGTCAATCGCGTCAAAAGTTACCAATACGGGCCTTTCGTCCTAGGCCACTGCTATTGTTGTTTAACATTTGTAATGCTGTCTATCCCAACCAGACATTGGTCTGCCGACAAGGTGGGCTATCTGCACTTTGTGCAAATAGACACTCTGAAATATAAATATCACAACTTAAATTTACATGAAATATTAACTTATGTAAGAAGAAAGTGAGAGTGTGGAGTCATATGAGAGACATAAAACTAGAGAAAAAAATACCACAAATAAGCTGCATTTAAACCAGAATATCCCTTTAATCAAACACATATCTGTATTTAGATGAGTAACACTCACTTAATGCTGTTCATCCATTCGTCCTTCTCCTCGACGGTGGGAGCAGAGATGCGGTAGAAAGTGTGGTTTCCTTCGACGACCCGTCCGTCCGCCTCTGTCTTACATGCCTTGATCACCTGGTCCTTATTGTCAGGGATGAAGAGCTCAAAGCAATTCTGAGAAGCAAACACGGGCAGACAATCACATATCTGACCACTAGGGGGAGACACGGAAAAGTTCCTGTCTCTGCAGTTTAAAAATTGCTGAGAAGGATGTTTTACCGGCTTCTTGTCCTCCACTTCACGGATGCTGAGGTTTTCCAGGGGGATGATGCCTCTTGGTTCTTTATCCTACATGAAAAGAGCCAAATGGGTTTCCATTTATCACAATTCACCATGGACCACATGATAAAGAATGTGTGAATTATATCTAAACTAAATTCCTAACTGACTCTTTCATAAGCACCATCTTGAAAACGTTCTTGACGAGTGCTTCATTAGCAACTGTTGCCATCCTCTAACTTGTATCAAAGTTATTACGATTGGTTTCAAATGAGGCCTTACTCTTTTCAGTGACTGAGAAGCATTTGCCTCCATTATGATGTACAGTCTGCACAATTTTTAATACACACAACTAATTAAAAAATTCTATAAAGAAAAAAGCAGATAAAAATGCGTTTTAATTTTACAATTTATAGCAGGCCACATACAAATCAATTCAAAATCAACAAATGTTTACTACTTATAAGCACATCTGGCTGAAAATAAAGCTGTTAATGGAAAGTGTCAAAGGGTAATTTACATGAAAACACTACACTAATAATCAATTTTTTTTTTGTACTTTTCAACTTACAGTAATGCCACTATTTTAGTTCAATTCGCATAAATTATATTTTAAATTAGATGAGAAGTGAGAAATGCATAGCATGTATATGTTACTGTTAGACATGGCCCAAAAGATGTTTCTTCAGTACTTACAGTAGTGTACTCAAAGTAGTAAAGGCAGTTATCTGTGAGAATGAACCACCGTCTTTTCCAGGTTTTGACGCGTCCTCCTGAGGAACAAAAGATGAATGTTAGTTTTTCAGTGCAGTGAGCTGGCAGACGTCAAAGATCCGTGCAGCTGAAGATTTGAGCAGCAGAAGAGCAGACAGACAGATGAACAGACAATGAGAGCTCTTCTACAGCGACTCCATGTCCAATAAGGCCCAAGCACAGCATTCCTTACCAGCAGCACACCATGCTCAAACCAGCCGCACTCATGAATCAACCTTCACAGCTATCAGACATCACCTGATAGCTGCCATTCCTCTTAACCCCACTCTAAAATAATTTTTACCTCCTAAAAGACCAGCCAAAGGTAAAATGTGTTTAACCGGAGCTATATTCTCTATAACCAGCTGATGTTTGCTATCCAGACATACAGAGAGGTTGTCATTTCCTGAACTTGTCTTCTCCTCAATCGTCTCCCTATTACTATTAACCTCCCAATTAACTAACAGACACAATTGTGTTCGTAAACTGCTGTGACAAACTCTGACGGCAGGTCAGTGCAGCACCGGTTAAGCTCACATTCTTGGGACATTTCCCCATGTCCCTCTCTCTATAGGGACTGCAAGGTAAACACAGTGCTCGGTGATCCGAGAATGACCTCTGACCTGTGCCACCCTTGTTTCCTCTGCAGGGAAACCTGATCACAGTGGCAAAAGAGATGCCATCAAACTGAATAAACTGTATAGTGCAACCAAAAACACTTTTAACTGTGTATCAGGGTAGTTGAAGCAGAGCATATCTGTAGACATCTTTAAAAAAAAATCATTAAATCAATAAATATTTATACATAGGGGAAACTCTATTTCCACCTGTTCAGAATTTCCTTTGAATTCATGAATTGAATGCATGCATAATGATTATAAAATAAGTAGCAAAATGTTGTTTAGGCCTGTCGTTTATCATTATCTAATTATGATACTAATATAAAACACTCCAGTTTTACTGTTACTTAACATCCACATCATGCTACACATTCTCGGTCCTTAGAGTTTTATGTATTTATTTATTTTATGAAAATAATAAAACTCTTTACGCTTTAAAGTACGAAGACACTTCTTAAGTTCTTCATACAAAACAAAGGCTTGTAGGTTCAATTATTATATTGTTTTATATTATATTACAAGTCAAAACTTTGGAATAATTAACATTTTTTAATGGTTTTAAAAGAAGTCTCATGCTCAACAAGACTGCATTTACTTGATTTAAAAAAATAAATAAATAAAAAACATTATTATTGTGAAATATTACAATTTAATGTATATATTAGCAGCAATAATAATCAATAATAACTGAGCAACAAATCAGCATATAGTGATTTCTTAAGGATCATGGGACACTGAAGACTGGAGCAGACTGAAAACACAGGAATAAATTACATTTTAAAATATATCAAAATAGAGAACAGTGATTTAAGTTGTAAAAATATTTCATAATATTGCCTATTTTACTGTATTTTTATATTCTATTATATTAATAATTATATTCTATTATATTCTATTAATAATTATATTATATTATATTATTCAGGTTTGCTGAGCTTCAGTGTGAATGTAAATCGAACCAAGATTAAAGATGAACAAAAAAAAGAAATATTTCAACTTTTAAAATATTATTTTCACAACAGTAAAGAAAATCAAATGGGTATATTTAATTACATGTTTTTATGTAAAACAAAAAAATTGTCAGAAAAAAAAAAAAGCATGATCGTGACAGGCCTAATCTTGTTTAAATTAGTTTTCTATGTAACACAGCACTGCACACAAGCAGGGCATGTCAACCACCCGAAAGCATTTCAAGCATTTCTGCTAAACAGGAAATGATCCTCCTGCACTACAGACTGCTATTGTATTTGAATCTTGGCATAAGCGACAAACAAAACAAACACGAATCAGAGCACTACAGCAGGTGAGAAGTTTCTGAGCAAGCTGATTGAGTTATCGGCTGTGATTAATGATCACTCCAGTTGCGGTCGTACAGCAGAAACCCCGTCCAGAAATGCCTCTCAGAGGGAGGAGATTTGTGGAGGGGGACGTGAAGAGGCCGTGCTGGGCTGCAGAGGAGGCTGACTGACACAGGGCTGGGTGATGGATGGGCGTTCAGATCTCTGACGTGACAACAAAAAGGCTCAATCTTTAAATTCCTTTTAGAAGTTTTTATTATACGTATGCTAATGTATGTGCTAATCTCATATTCTTGACTTGTAAGTGAATCAGAACACTTCAGATATGGTTTTATTTTGGATTCAGTGATGTCTGATTCATGAAACCCACCCTCACCCAGCATAGTGGTGCTGTCCGATCTGACCAAATACACACACACTTTCCTCAGCGGTGCAGTCCAGC